ATGCTTTTTTCCGATGTCCCCCCCCCCCCCCCCAGAGCAGTATTAATAAAAAAAACAGAATACTTGGTTTGTTCAGTTTTAACTTTGTGAAAAAATATTTTTTTTCTTTGCATTAATGGGATGGAGTGGACATGTTTTTTGTTTTGTATTATATATGGACTAAATTTATATTTTGTGAAAATTACATGAATATTTTCTGATACTGCCTCACTTATTCTAATTTGAGAAAAATAAAATTTCCTAAAGTTTAAAATGTAATTTATTCCTGTGATGGTAAAGCTGATTTTTCAGCATCACTACTCCAGTCTTCAGTGTCACATGATCCTTCAGAAATCATGATTGTTATGCTTATATTTTAATATGCTAATATGCTTATTATTAGCAATGTTGAAAACAGTTATGCTGCTTAATATCTTTGTGGAAACCATGATTTTTTAAAAATTATTTGAATAGAAATTTCAAAAGAACATTTAAAAAATTTTTTTTACAAAAATTAAATTTTTTAAACAAAAATCTTTGTCACTTTTGAATTATTGTTTCCTTGCTGAAGTATTAATTTCTTTATAAAAACAAAGAAAGAAAGAAAAACTGAGCCCAAACTTTAGAACAGTATAGAGTGTGAGTAAGAGTTCATACTTGACTTTCTATGCTTGTTCAGAAATCAATAAAATGAGAGATGACACAAATATAACAAACAAAATGCATTTATTGTTATTTTATTCAATAACAATACAATTCAAAATCAAAGACTTCAAATATTCTACATAATTACATTAAAGTACATTTGATAAAAAAGCAGTGACATGTTTTCAAGCAAAAAGTGTTTTGAATTATAACCTTTTTTGGTTCTCTTTACTTGTGTCAAATACACACAAGTGGTTTATGGGCTTCAGGACAATAATGCTTGTGCAATGTGCTCTGAAAATGGGCAAATCTGCTCAAAGTCCAAAATAGCTTGAAGACGATTAGGTGACCCACATTTGGTTTAGTCATTAGATATAGACTTTGCTTACAGAAAATATAGTCTGGTTGTGCATGTGAAAGTGGGACAAAGATTGAACTCGAGTCTTCTAAAGACCTGAAAGTGTCCTGTAAACCTCCGAGAAAATCAGTGCAATTGGGGAAACCAAGTGAGGGTTTATCTCAAACAAACCAGAATCCAAAGCCTCTTGACTGGACAAAACTCTAGTAAAAGCTTCAAGTCTCAAGAGTTTATGACCTTTAGGAAATAAAATACCCAAAGAACACCCTACTCTGTGTTTCCATGAGATAAATAGTGTCATTACAGGTGTGACAACATTACATGATACAGGGGAAATGCTAAAAAAAAAAATACTTCTGAGCTGATCAATTAAAGCACATCAAAAAACAAAGACAAAGCAAAAATAATGTTCAGGCAGCAAAAGATGGTGTTAGTGTAAGTCTGGTGAAATTATATTTATATAAGAGTTAAAAATAATGAGTGATTTAAAGATCTTAAGCATGCAGCAGTGATCCTCACAACTGTTCATGCACTGAAAACTATTTGAACTTTATTAAAACTATTTGCACTGATTTATTGTGTTGGTTACATTTTGTTTCTTTGTGCAGTGGCTCAGGACATCAGTCTTTTGAGTCTAAAAACCTCAACAAACTGAAGGGGAAAAAAAGTTTTTTGAGGTAATGCAGTCTTGTTAAAATTGATTTTATAAAATTGGTATTGAAAAAAGTATCGTTCAAGAACTGGCATTGAAGTCAAGGTATCGGTATCGAATTTTTTTGAACGATGCCCATCCCTATTTATTAAACAATCAGTCCTGCTTCAAATTAAATTTTTCTGAAGTGTGTCGTGTGTCGTGTTTGCAAAGCATCACGCATGAATGTGTTTGTATTTAATCACAACAAATAATTACTATTAGAAAGTTGATTCACATGCACATGTCAGAGAGTAAGATTAACACTGATCGGCTTGGCATTTTTTATTACGGTGAATGCAGACGTTCCAGAACCGTTAACAGAACTGAATCACGAAGTGCAGAAACCCAACTAACAAAAAGAACATTTTTACTAATGTTCCCGTTTAAGTATTTATGAACATTCTCTGAACACTCAAAACATCCAGTTTTTAAAATGTTTGGAAATTTTTTTTTTTTCTTGTTTATGCGTTCCGTTGTATCAGTTTGCCAACATTATGGGACAAACAAGTAGTAACGTTTAACAAATGTTAAATTAATTTCCCAAAAAATTGTTTCAGAATTTTTTTTTTTCCATAAATGTATAAATAGCATTTTTTTGTGCAAACATTATGACAACATTTTTAAAGACCTAGAAGACCGATTTTCATAACTTTGAGAGAACCTTGCCAGAACATTTCCTGTTAGCTGGGTAGAAGTGATGTGCTATTTGTACTATGGGTAAATACAAAGTTTGCTATTTGCATTTAGTGTCAATAGATACTGCCATTAAAAAAATGGAGCTTGTTTTGAATAAGAACCGGTTCTTGATTCCCAACCCTCCATTCACAAAGTGATGCTACATAACACAGAACGGCGAAGAAGTGCATAAGCATGGGATTCTTTGGTTCAGCTGTATGTTTTTGGTCAAATTAATTCAGGTCTGATATTGCTGAGGTAATACGTTAGAAATTAAGCACCATTTCATATATAAAAAAGTAAATAATACAGAGAAATATCGTAGCTATGCTTTCATGCATCTGGCTTCGCTTCTCATTATTTTCAGTCATAAGGCACACAGTAGTTGTGAAGAGGGAATCTGAGGCCGTCGTATGTGATACATTAAATACATTAAGTAATTTCAAAAGCCTAACTTGACATCCAATTGACATTTGGAATGAAGTATTTGCGTGGGTCGCTCTGCTGGTGTTAACTGTAATGCTGCTGCAATAGTGTCAAAGTTCATAGTTTACAGCTCACAGGTTCTTCATACACACTTGGCAGCGGCTGATGCGTGACAGGAGCTGACCGGCTTTCAGTGTCTCAGAGGAAGGGGAACTCTGGAAGGTCTGATCGATAGACGTCAACCAGAAACTTTGCTTGTTGGCGAAGTAGTGACATGTACCCTTGGCCCCGTTACACTCGATGAAGGGAGTGGTGCGGAAATTTTCTAGACAGGAGCCCGGAGACACCAGAGACTGACCGCCACCTTCATCTCCAGCTGCCGTGTGCTGCGAGGGAGTGACAGAAGGAGTTACAGGACTATTAAAAGAAAGGAAGTGTAACATTTTAGAAACTAAGTCTCACCATAAGGAAGGAATAGCCAATCCAGAGACTTCTCCAGTCTGCTGGGCATTGTGGAATTGTTATATCTTGACTGTGTATGGCGATGGCCACGGATGGAGCTTCGCACACGGAGCAGCGGCTGATGTACGGTTTTATTTCGGCCTCCTCCACGGGCATCATGGGAATTGGTGCGGTGGTGGACAGCCAATAGGATTTGTCATTGCGGTTGGCATAGTAGCATACGTCTCCAGGATTGCAGTACAGGAAGGGCATGGTGTTAAAACGGGGGAGACATGAGCCGGCTAGACCTGGATGACAGAGAATCACAAAGTACAGTTATTGATTTAAATATAATTACTTAACATACGTCAGTAAGTTTATTCAGTGAGTAAGTACCGTACCTTTTTCCAAAAGGTACATCTGGAAAAAGGGGGGTCGTCTTATAATCAGGGTCGTCTTATATTCGGGCCAATACGGTAATACTTTTATTCAGCAAGAATGCATAAAACGAATCAAAAGTGATAGTAAAAGTAAACAGTAGAATTTATAAAAACGTATGTTACAAAAAATATTATTATTACTAATATTATTATAATATTACGCAGCACAACGCTTTTCAATATTGATAATAATAATAAATGTTTCTTGAGCATCAAATCAGCATACTAGAATGAATGATCACGTGATGCTGAATACATTTTAAAACATATTGCAATACAAAACATTTCTATATTATTTCGGAATATTACTGTTTTCACTATATTTTGATCAAATAAATGCAGCCTTGGTGAACATTAGAGACTTCTTTCAAAAACATTTAAAAATCTTAACAACCCTAAACTTTTTGATTGGTAATATATATTAGATGATATAATAAGAAAATGAATTACTTGGAAAGCATTGTAAACCATGAATTACTTTCATAAACAAGTCTGTTGTTGACCAGTGATGGGAGAAACAAATCTTTTTGAATCTTAGAATCAGTTGATCCAATTTGTAAAACGATTCACTGTTTTAAAGTGCTTGAACCATCTGCTAGTGAAAGTGAGTTTATTTATGATTATATATTAGTTTTTGTTTCTTAGAAATTAAGGTTGTGTTCATACTAAAACAGTATTTATGTTTTTTTATATGTTGTTTGATCTGAAGTTGTACAAATAATGGTGGTGTCAGACTGGGAATTACAGCACATCTTGTGATTGATTTTATTATTTTGTCAGTTGCACTTACCCAGGTCTTGGTTGTGGGCCTTCTCCTGTCCCTCAAAGTACAGGAGACTGTAACCATCCCATAACTTGGACATACCCACAGGGCACATGGGGATCTGCTCAGACTGACTGTGCTTCACCAGCAGGTAGCCAACATTAACACTGCGGCCGGACATTCCAATAGTACCAGGTAAACCAGGGCTCCCTCGGGTCCCTATCAATTGAGATGCATTATCAACTTGTAATTCACGTGAGAAAAGAAAAAACTATTTACATGAAATTGCCTAAATTATTTAAAAATGAAAGGCTCACATGGGCCTTCTTGATGTCCAGTCATCTACAATCGTTAATCCACTAATCTAGTCCAGAATCCCAGAATCCTCACTCATTTTTACACAAGCACACCACTTACC